CCTCCTCCTCCTCCTCCTCCTCCTCCTCCTGCCTTCCTCCTCCTCCTCCTGCCCTCCTCCTCCTCCTCCTCCTCCTCCTCCTCCTCCTCCTCCTCCTCCTCCTCGGCGGGGCTTCTCGCCCCGCCGACGCACCTCCTGGCGACCCACGGGCCTCGAGGTCGGGTCCAGGGGCCGTGTCGGAAGAAATCGGGACATCGGGGGGGCAGCGGAGGGGCGATTTGTGGGCGGGAAGAGCGGGGTCAGCGAGGCAGCAATTCGCTTCGGGGGGGAGAGGCGAGGTAGCAATTCGCTTCGGCTGGGAAGAGCTCGGCCAGGCGCAGCCCGGCCAGCTGAACTCGGCCTGGGCCGAGTGCCTCGGAGGAAGAGGAGGAGGAGGAGGCGGAGGCGGAGGAAGAGGAAGCGGACGAGGAGGAGGAGGAGGAGGAGGAGGAGGAGGAGGAGGAGGAGGAGGAGGAGAGGAGGTGGAGGAGGAGGAGGAAGGAGGAGGAGGAGGAGGCCGATTGCCGCCTGGCCGCGATCCGCCTGGCCGAGCTTCGCGGGGTCGAGTCTCTCCCTGGTCGCGAGGGGCGGCAGGGCCCAGGTGCCCAGCGCCTTGGAGAGGATCCTCCTCCTCCTCCTCCTCTTCCTCCTCCTCTTCGTCCTCCTCCTCCTCCTCCTCCTGCTCCTTCTCCTGCTCCTCCCATCCCTCCTCCTCCTCCTCCTCCTCCTCCTCCTCCTCCTCCTCCCTCCTCCTCCTCCATTCCTCCTCCTCCCATTCCTCCTCCTCCCATTCCTCCTCCTCCTCCTCCTCCTCCTCCTCCTCCCTTTCCTCCTCCTCGGGGAGTGCTCCTCTCCAGTGGTCAGTCTCCAGCCCTCCGGGGCGCGTCCGCACACGAAGAGGGCTCGGGGTGGCAGGAGCGGGCCCCCAGGGAGGGGGGGAAGAGGTCGAGGCGGGGAGGCCTGGGTCGCCCAGTCCGAGAGCAGCGCGGCGTCGGCGAGGGGTCGTTTTGAATCGGGCACGTCCCTCTGCAGGAGGAATGTTCATAATAGCCAGAAACATCGTCAGGAGACGTTTTTGTGTTTCTAGTATTTGTTTGAACTATGTTTGTATCTGCTTGGACACCTTTTCCTTTCTCGTCGAGAGTCCCCCTGTAGGGGGACATGCCCGACCTCAGGGCTGTTCCTCTCCTTCTCCCCTCTTGCGCCCCTCCCTCTGTGCCTGTCCCTTCTCTTCGGAGCGGGGTGGGAAGGGGATCAAGAAGGTGCACGGAGCGAGAGGAAGCGGGGAGGGAAGGGGTGGCAGGAGGAGGTGGAGCGGCGGGAGGAGCGGAAGGCAGGGGGAACGCGGGGGGGGGGGCGATGCAGCGGGGGTGAAGAGGGGGAGGGAAGGCAGAGGGGACTTTGGGAAGTCGGAGGAGTGGAACGACCGGACCTGGGGATTGAAGCACATGATCACGATGAAAAGTTGGTTCTCCGTCAGTGGGTCGAGAACGAACGACTGCGTCGGATGGTTGGGGAGGGTTTGGGAGGCGGCCGGGCAGGTTGTCAAGTTCACGGGCAAATACACGCCGCTGCACCAGAGTCTCTATTTCGACATGTTCGAGCTGATCGCAGACGTCCAGGAGCGCGCGGCCCCTGCCCCCACAGCGCTCTCCCGACCTTGGCTTCTACCCCGATGTGTGTGTGTGTGTGTGTTGGGGAAGCAAGGCTGACCGATGTGGTCGAACCCTGTGGCAGGATGCGTTGAGGATTCGGTGGCCGAGGGTGCAGCCTGTGGCGCTTTACACATCAGGACGCTTTTTAAACCTTATCGCCCAATGGCTCTGTATCGCAACTCGTGGCGAGCGGTGGCCTTCGCGGCCGGCAGTGGTGTCTGTAGCTGTTGTGGTGATGGCCAGTGGTTAGTGGTGGTGGTGGCGGCGGCAGTGCGGTGCTGGCCGCGGTGGCGGCGCTGACGCCGGTACGGTATGCAGCCCTCCGCGCTCAGATTTGTCTCAGCATCGCTCGGACGTGTGCCTTGCTTTCGGCGAGGCCAGCGCCTGAACATCTGGGCCATCTTGGCCCGCGTCTAGGATCGTCTGGACCAGAAGCCCAGGGAATGGACGTCCGAGCGGTGGCAAGGCGTGCCGACCGGGTGGCCCCGCGCGGCCCGAGCGGCGCCTCCGGGGAAGCGGGCCTCGGCAGCTCGCAGAGGGCTGAGCGCCTCGCGCGGGGCGTGCCCGCGCAGCTCCAGCCGCCGCAGGGCACCGGCCAGCGGGGGGGAAAAGGCTGCAGGCAGGCCTCGCCGCCGTGCGCGCGGGGCGGACGCCGCCGTGCCACCGGCGGAGTGCACCGCGGGGAGCGGCAGCGGCAGCGGCAGCGGCCAGGGCGCGCAGGGGTGCGGGGGGCTTGCGTGGGGCTCTCTCCCCCCTCGGCCTGCGCCCTCGCGCTGCGCAGGCTCCTCCCCGCTCCTCTCCCGTGTCTGCGTCTGCCGCCTGCAGGAGAGACAAAAAAGTACCACCACCACCAGCTGGGGGGGGTGGCCGCTCCCTCCCCGTCGAGCTGGTGACACCTCCTGGCGGAAACTCTCTGGAGGGACGCCCGGAGCGAGGTGCCACCAGCTCGAGAACGTTGGACAGCCACCCCCCCAGCTGGTGCTGGTGGTTTTTGTTTGTCTCTGGTGGCTCCTCTCGCCCTCTCGCCTCGGTCCCGCGTGGGCATCGGTTCGCGCGCGCGCGCTCCACATCCGCCTCACCGGCGGCCGGAGCCGCGTGCGCGCGCGCGCGTTGAGGGCTGCCCTCGGGCCCTGCTGCCCTCGGGTGGGTGGTGGGTGCTGAGGGCTGCAGATCCGCCGCCCTGCCTTCTCAGGTCGCGAGCGGCCTCAGGGCTGCCCGGGCGGGGGAGGAGATCTCGGGCGAGGGACGAGTCGTTGGGGCTCGAGGCCCCCTCCGGCTGCCCACGAGATCGGCCGTCGCGTCGCTGGGGCCCCCGCCTGCGGTGCACCTGCCTGAGCCGGGTTTGCCGAGCCTTCTCTCACCGAGCGCGTTCCACTACTCGCAAAGTGCCTACTCGCAAACGTCCGAAAAAACATGTGATTGCCTCGATGATCTATATCGTGAATCCCCCGCGGCGGATTCACGCCATTTGCGATTAGTTACTTTGCGAGTAGTGCAACGCGCTTGCCTTGTCTCTAAAGCTCGGCCCCACAGGCTGCCAGAGGATTGGCGTGGCGCGCACGGGGGTGGAGGGGGACGGGTATCGCGTGGCTTTGCTGGAGGGCAGCGGGCCGCTCCGAAGGGGCCGGCGGGTTCTGTATGAGAGGCCCTCCTCCGACAGTCGGGAGGGCTCCCAAGAGGCTCCGCCCCGCCTTTTTCTGCGAGGCCGCCTCCCTCGGCCCACCTCGCCCCACCTCAGACCAAACTCCGCTCGAGCCAAACAGCATGAGCGTCACGCACAGTGTGCTGCTTGCAGCCGCTCCATCTCACTGAAAGCAAGCAGCGTGTTCTGCTGCTGCTTTGAGCTGCCTCCGGACCTGGGGAAACCCAGAGGTACCGATACCGACCTCTCCTGGGGTGCGTTCTGACCAGACTCGAGGCGAGTCCAACGGTGGCGACGAAGGCGCCCGAGGAGGGCCCAAAAGGCGAAAGCGGGGCGAGGTCAGCGGTGTGGGTAACCTTTTTGTTTGTCCTCCGAGGACCCCTTCTCGCTCCAGGGGTCCATGCTGCCAGTTGTTCCGGGCCACCTCTCGGCGGGGAGGACCCGCAGGAGCGCCCCGAAGCCTCCCAAGCGACGACGTCGGCTGCGCGCCGCCGGGCTGGCGCGGAGGAGGGCAGCAGGGCCTCGAGCTTCTGGTCGAGGCCGCCCTCATCGCCAGGGCGTCAGAACGTGAAACTGGAGGAGAAGGAGGAGGAGGAGGAGAAGGAGGAGGAGGAGCAAAGGGTACCGCTACCCCTCCATCGTTTTTCCTTTTTGGGGCATCTTGGGAGGCCCTCGTCGCCACCGCTGGGTTCGCCTCGAAATCCTGGTCAGAACGCACCCTGGGAGAGGTCCAGGGAGTAGAGGTATCGGTACATTTGGTTTCCCGCGAGGAGGAGGAGGAGGAGGAGGAGGAGGAGGAGGAGGAGGAGGAGGAGGAGGAGATGGAGGAGGAGACGGAGGAGGAGATGGAGGAGGAGGAGAAGGATTATGCCGAAATCAGAACGTTACAGCTTAGTTGCTAAAGTCCGCGTAAGGGTAACACTTTGTGCCGGCATGTGCTAAGCGATGGGGCTCAGAGGATCCGGCATCAGCAGCATTAGAGCAGGTGTTGCGGCTGATCCTCGTGTCCAGGGGTGGCCAGTAGGGAGTTGGGCAGCAAGCCTGCCTCGAGTCCGCGGGCACTGGCTGAGCCCGCCTGCTCTGCCGTGGGGGGTTTTCTGGGCAGCACGGCACGCGCTCGAAACTGCGCTGAGCCCGCCGGCAGGCCAGTGCCCAGGTGGGCGATGCCCCGGAGGAGCTGCCCAGTCCCTCGATATCCAGCGCATTGAAAAAATATCAAGACGGAGGTTTTTTTGCCCTTTTCGGCCTCTAGATGCCCTCGCCGGGCCTCGGGACTGTCAAGAAAACGACTCAGGATGAAAAACGGGTCAGGACCTCTGGAGGCCCCCTATTGAACAAATCAAGACATCGGATCTCTGGACCTGAAGCACGTCTCTATTTTCCCCGAAGACGGCACCGCCTGGGACTCTCTCGGTGCCGATCTCCAGGACTCGTCCCAGCCTTGTGAGGGCACATCCCTGAGCTGAGATGGTCGCCGCCTTGGGAGTGTCTATCTCAAGAGGATCCCCAGGGGCTTGACGAGTCGTAGCTTATCTTCTTGCGGGGGTCAAGTCTGATAAATGGAGGTAGATCCGCATAGCTCGAGGCAAATCCCGGTAAATCGAAGCACATCCAGAGAAATCGAGGTAATTCCAGGGATCTCCAGCGCGAGTCGAGGGACAGCAAAAGTCGTCGTCAAGCCATTCACGAAGACGGCGCTGAGCTCGAGGCTACTCAGCAGCGCCACGGGGAGATGCGGGAGGCCAGTGACGGGCCCCCGCCCGCCTTCGGGCGCGCCGGCAGGACTGGCAGCCTTCCGGCAGCAGGAACGACGACCAGATCGCCATCATCGGCGCGCGCGGGGAACGCAAACCGCGGGGGCCCTCGGCGTCGGTGGCGTCTCGTCTTCTCCTCCACCGACGGCTTGTGTGCACCGTACGGCATTGGCGTCTCCCGGGGCGTCGGCGAGCGTCGACACGGGAATGGCACGGTGCATAGTTGTTCGGCCTTCAGAGCAAAAAGCTATCCACCGCACCGCGTTCGGGCGGGGCCTGAAGGCAATCCAAAGTCGGTGGGGTGCATGGGCGACGTTCTCGTATCCTTCGGAGGAGAGGTGGAGTCGCAGGTCAATACGATCAAGATGAGTACGGAAATAATGGGGACGAAGACTGGACAGCGGTTCCTGCCCACTCTGAACAGGGTTCGTTGCCAAATTCCCCGCGGACGTTGGCCATTGCGGAGAAAAAGTCGATTGCCCAACCGCGGTTCCTGTCGGTGTTGGACGACATTTGCTGTTTGGTTTCGTGGCATCTTTCTCAAATACCAGTTTTTGAGAGATAACTCCTGGAGGCCCACAAGTCCGCCCCGTCCGATCTGGGACGACGTTCGCGCGACGATGCTCCGATGTAAGTCCCTCGTACATCCGACACTGGGCCTCGGGTTGCCGCGCGAGGCCTCCGGGAGCTTCTTCACAACAAATTTCGGGCGTGCCAGCCCCGAAAAGGATCTGCCCTGAGGGCTGGTGGGATCCTGGGCATCCCGGGCGCCGGCGCTCGTTCCCCCGAGGCAGCAGGCCCAAAGTTTTCCAGGCAGAGGAGGGCTGCCCGCCGATCCCCCCTGCCGCCCTTTCGCCTCCTCGTCCACGCCCCCCTGTCATAGCTTGCCCTCCCCTCCCATGCCCTCGGCTTCGCTCGCGTGCCCCCCCCCCTCCCCCAGATCCCCCTCCCACCCCTCGCCCATCTCGCCTCTTTCCCCGCGCTCTTGCCCGCTCCACTCCCATCCCGTCCCCGCCCCCTCTCCACCCCGTATTCTACCTCACCTCCTCCTCTCTTTCCTCCTCCTTGCTTCTTTCTCCTGGCCCCTTCCTCTTTCTCCTCCTCCTCCTCCTCCTCCTCCTCCTCCTCTCCTCCTCCTCCTCCTCCTCCTCCTCCTCCTCCTCCTCCCTCCGTCAGTCAAGCAGCCTTAGCAACTGCTGATTGTGCGGTTCCCCAGATGGCTCACGACCCCCCACCACGTACCAGGCCAGGTCAAATGGGAATGGGAGGGGGGGCTTTGTCGCAATGTTTATTGTAGTGGCCTCCGGCCAGTGCCGCCGATCTGGGACGCTCCGGATGATGATGATGATGATGATGATGATGATGATGATGATGATGATGATGATGATGATGATGATGATGATGATGATGGTGATGGTGATGATGATGATGATGGTGATGGTGATGGTGATGGTGTGGTGATGGTGATGTGATGGTGATGATGGGATGGTGATGGTGATGGTGATGGTGATGATGGTGATGGTGATGATGGTGATGATGGTGATGATGGTGATGATGGTGATGATGATGAGATTGATGAGATTGAGATGAGGATGAGGATGAGGATGAGGTGAGATGAGGATGAGGATGAGATGAGGATGAGGATGAGGATGAGGAATGAGGATGAGGATGATGAGGATGAGGATGATGATGATGATGATGATGATGATGATGATGATGATTATGATGATGATGATGATGATGGTGATGGTGTGGTGGTGGTGGTTGGTTGATGATGATGATGGTGGTAAGGATGATGGATGAGGAGGATGAGGATGAGGATGAGATGATGAGGATGAGGATGAGGGATGAGGATGAGGATGAGGATGAGGATGAGGATGAGGATGAGGATGAGGATGAGGATGAGGATGAGGATGAGGATGAGGATGATGATGATGATGATGATGATGATGATGATGATGATGATGATGATGATGATGATGATGATGATGATGATGATGATGATGATAATGATGATGATGGTGGTGATGTGACGATGGTGATGGAGATGGTGATGGAGATGGTGATGATCCCGGCCCCCCTCCCCACCTCCCCTCCTCTCTCCTGTCCCCCTCCCCCTCTCTCTGTCCCCCCCCCCTCTGTCTCCTTTCCCCCCCTCTCTCTCTCCTGTTCTCCCCCCCCCTCCCCCTCTCTCCCTGTCCCCCCCCCCCTCTCTCTCTCCCCCCCCCCACCCTCCCCCCCCCCCCCTCTCTCTCTGTCCCCCCCCCTTTCTCCTGTCCCCCCCCACCCCTCCGTTCCCCCTTCGCCCCTCTCTCCTGTTTCCCCCCCTCGTATCTCCTTCCCCCCCCTCCCCCCCTTCTCCTGCCCCCCCCCCCCCCCCCCCCCCTCCTCTCTCCTGTCCACCCCCTCCCCCTCTCTCCTTTCCCCCTCCCCCGCGCCCTCTCTCCTTCCCCCCCCCCCTCCTCTCTCCTGTCCCCACCCCTCTCTCTTTCCCCCCCCCTCTCTCCTGTCCCCCCCCCTCTCTCCTGCCCCCCCCCCCTCTCTCCTTTCCCCCCCCCTCGCGTGTCAATTCTTTCGTCGTTGGCGTCTCCCCCCCCCCCCCTTGCAGAGCGAAGCTTGAGCGAGCCCCCCCCTCTCTCCTTTCCCCCTCCCCCCCCTCGCGTGTCAATTCTTTCGTCGGTTTTCGCCGTTGCGTCCCCCCCCGACCCCCCCCCCTCCAGAGCGAAGCTTGAGCGAGCTCAAGCCCACGCTTTCAGAAACTCACACGCCGTATCGGCGGATGTGGTCTTTGAGTTTGAAATTCAGGGTCACTGACATGGACGCTTTAAGTCTTTCTGCATCAGATGATGCTACAGAGCGCGTAAGCAATCCATACACACAGTTTACGGGCCGACTAGCTGCTCTGAACTCAAGTTTTAGTCGTGGGTTTTCTCGTCTCCAGCGCTCCTGTTCTTGCCTCTCGATCGGGGATGCGGGCGTTCGCTTCTTGCGTGATGGCACATGATCCGGCCCCGCGGGCGGCGAGGTGTTGGCAGATCCCACGGTGGACCCTCAAAGCATCGGGACGTGATCTCGTCGGAGGCGAACGCGGGCCTGGGCAGGGCCAGATCCCGCAAGGCAGCCCAGCCTGAAGTCGGGCCTGTCCCTCTACAGGAGGGAGATCCTGCAACAGTAGGAAGAAAGGCCCGGGACGATTGTTTTACTATTCTTGAACACTTGTTGTGTTTATATGTTGACTATGTTTTTTCTTTGGCTCGCCGTGACCACGCACAGACCCTTTTCGCTCGTCGGAGTTCCTGCGGGCAGCACGAGGACGGTTCCCAGGTTGGGATGTTTGCCGTATCCGCGGTTCCGCGGATCGATCATCAGGAATTTCTGCAGGCGGTGGGTATGGATATGGGTATATATATACACATATATATGCGATATACGAACATACGTGCATACAAGCAGACAGACATGCACGCATGGGGGAGGCGGGAGACGAGGAGGAGGAGGAGGAGGAGGAGGACCTTTGGTCTTGACAACACGAGCACTCCTGATCTTGCCAGGGCTCGCGGGCGAGACTCACACCGACGGGTAGTCCATGCTTCACAAGGGAAAGAAAACACACAGACACGATGAATCGTCGATCCCCCAGAAAGTTATGGAAAGTGGGGAGGAAGACGAAAGCCCTGAAAGTATTAGAAAATGTCGGGAATCCTGTTGTTCGTGTCCCAGGGCCCCTTCAATGCTACGCTTTGGGGAGAACCCTCAGGCCAAGCGGGACAGGACATCTGCTGCAGCTTTGGGGGGTCCTAGCGAGGGCCTGCCTTCCCAAACATGCCAAGGCTGCGGGGCACCGGTCGCCGATCTGCTGGACAGTCTTGTCACCATCACGCCAACAGCCGCGGCAGAGCATTATGCATTTGAGCACAGGCTTAAGTCGGGTCTGTCCCTCTACAGGAGGAATATTCCAAATAGTAAAAATAGTCAGGGGACGATTTTTTGAACACTTTTTGAGCATTTTGGGGTATTTTTGGACTATGTCTAATTTTTCGTCCAAAATCCCCCTGTAGGAGGACTGGCCCGACTTAGCATGATTCATTCGAGCACAGGCAGAGCATGCGGCGAGTGGGCCTTCCTTGTTGCAGCAGGGTGCATTGCGACTCTGTCGCAGCCTCCCTGCTGTTGTCACACTGGAGGACTCATATATCTGCCGGGCCAGAAACGACACATTTGGCCTCGCGTCGCTTTGACTTTCGCGTTGCGGATCGTGCAGGCAAGCCCCGTGGCCACCATTCCCGACAGAAAAGTCAGCACGAAAGTTCAGGGGCAGTTCGGCTTCAGAGATTCCCGAGGTTTCTCCCAAGGGCCTACTAGAGAGTGAGCCTTAGTCCAGAGAACTTCGATGTGCCCGTCACGGGCGTCGATCAGATCCCTGATCCGAACCCACATGTCCAACACCTGGAGCGTCTTCGACACATACGGTCGGCCACGCCTGAGGCTCTGGACAAGAGGGAGATAATCAGAATGAACACCACAGGGTTCGTCGTATATGTGAGTAGCACGATAACAGCTTACACCTCTGAACGAGGGCTCGACTGAACCAGAGTTGGCAAGGTCCCAGGCAGAAGAGTACCACATCTCAGTGCAACCCCATGAGCACAAGCTTCATCCAGTCGAACAACAGGCCAGCCAGAACGACGCACATTATATTATTTGGCATATTTCCCACCCGGGCAGTTCAACTCATACTTCCCCATACTCACGATACCTCCATCCGAGAACAGTCCCCAAGATTGAACAATCTGACGAGATGGTGGAATGGGGATACACGGCAGCAGCAAGGGTAGGGATACCACGGTTCCAAACCGCAGACCGCAAGTGTTTCATGCAACACGTTATGCATTCGTCGCAAGATTTGAGCATGTGGACGGAGTCTTTCTGGCCATTGCAAGAGCACCCCAATCCACTGTGCAATGCGGTGTCTTTCTCAACTCCACGTCTTTGACAGACTCCGTCCGTTGAATATCCTGCGTCCTGAAGCCGAGCTTCTGGCCAGACCGCGCCAGCAACAATACAACAACCAAGAGCCTCCGAATGCCTCCCCTCCTTCACCATGCCTTCTTTTCACCCTCCCGAAAAATTGTGCACCAGCTCCTCCCTCCAATCCAGAGCCACAACATTGAAGAGACATGTCAGTCCAGATGATATGCTACAGGGTGCTCCGCATGGTAACCAAGATGTAGAAAGGGAAGTCACAATCGTCAATGCGCATATTAACCTGAGGGAGTGGAACAGGAGGGAACGGTGTCAGGGTTCCAGTCCAAATCCAAAGAAAGCACACAGAAGCAGCGATGGGCCCCTTCACGATTAGTCAGCGCCGCTTAGTTTCCATAGTAGACAACCGATTTTTCTGTTTATCCCAAGTGCGTCTAATTCCAATCTCCTGGCCAGCCGAGGGAGATTGCCAAACATCTGCGATAGTTTGGACATGTGTTCTCTTCCTTCGCAAAAGGAGATCACCAGCAGCATCATACTCAATAGCAAGGGTAGGGGGAGTACAGGCCCCAGAAATCCAATGGCCTGAGGAGGAGGGAGATGGGAGGAGGAGGAGGGAGATGGGAGGAGGAGGAGAAGGAGGAGGAGGAGGAGGAGGAGGAGGAAGAGGAGGAGGAGCAGGAGGAGGACTGGTGTAGGACGAGGGGAGCTCCGTTCCAGAGCGTTCCGGAACGCTCTCAGAGCGTTCGAAACGCTTTGAAAAGGCCGCGGCGCCCGAGGCATCCTCTGGAGCCGTTGGATCTCAGAGACATCCTCGATCCATCCCTCGCCCGATGCCATCTTCGTCCCAGCTTCGTCGTAAGACGGGGCGGAAGGGTGCGCAGAGGGTTCGGGCCCCCCTCGCGGGGCAGCCCCAGGCAAGTCCCTGCAGGAGGTGGTCGGCAACGCGAAGCTCTTCCTGGTCCCCGGGGCTCCTCCGCGCCCTGATCTCCCTCCCTCCCCCCTTGCTTCCCTTCTCCCTCCCTCCTGCTCCCGCCCCCCCCCGCCCTCCTCCTCCCTCTTCTCCTTCACCCCGTCCATACCTCGTTTCCTCCTCCCCCCCCCTCCTCCCAATCCCTCCCCCCTCCCTCCTCTGCCGCCTCCCTCCGCCCCCCCTCTTTTGGCGGGCCTGGGCCTTGATCGGGGCCCGCGGTTCCCCCCCCTCTTTTGGCGGGCCTGAGCCTTGATCGGAGCCAGTTGCCGATGAGTTCGAGAATTCACCCGCGGGGACAGATATAGCCAACATGTTTGAAGAGGGGATTTTATGGCTCGGAAGGTGTTCGGAGGCTCGGAGTTTCTTCGTTTTGTTGTTTGGCTCATCTTTACGGTTTCAAGGGTTGGAAGACGTCGATTTCACCACGTGTCTTCTTACCTCTCTCGCGTGCCTTGAGGCATTTCTCGTCGAACTCGTTCTTTTGTTGTTCTTGATTACCTTTCTCGCGAGCTTTGGGGCACTTCTCGTCGCACTCTCGATCTCATCCGCCTTCCTCTGATGTCTGTGCCTCTTCGGCCCCAGAGCCGAGATTCGGTACTTAACCGGCCAGGTCGGTGCTGGCGCACTGGGCTGTGAGTATTTGAAGTGCTTGGCGATGATGGGCGTCTGCTGCGGTCGCACCCTCGCATGTGCCGCTTCGCTGCTCCCTCGTTGCTGGTTGGGATTGTCAGGCAGAGGGCGCGCGTCTGTTTTGATTGCGGGACGCGGCAGTTGCATGCATATTCAACGAATCATCTCAAGTTGTTCGCCTTCCCCCGACTCTTTCCCCCCCCCATGCGCTGAAGTAATGTACGTGAAGAGGCCATGAGGTGTCTGGGGCGGCTGCCAAGTGCCTCCGCCCCCTCCCCTCTTCCGCCTCCTCCTCTCGCCCCTCGCCCTCCCCCCGTCCGCCCCCCCGTCCCGCCCCTCCCGCCTCTCCTCCCCCGCCCCCCCCCCCTCCCCATTCGGCCCGCCGTCCTCCCCGCCCCCCGCCCCGCCAGAGCCCGCCTGGGCTCAAGACCCTGACACAGGCGCCAGGCCGGCCTCGGCTCACCCCCAAGCCGGCTCCCCCTGGCGCCGTCCCCTCCACTCGGGTCGACCGGAATGGGCACGGAAAGAATGGGTACAGTGCCCAGCAACAGTTCCTGTTCATCTTGGGCACAGCTCGTTGGCCGCGCTGCCGCGGCCTGTGTCCATTTGAGACAGAAGGCCGTCGGCCCAACAGCGGCCGCTGCTGGTTTGGGACAACATTTGTTGTTGGGCATTGTACCATTTTTGTTCCGTACAGTCGGGTCGCTGAAGAAGGAACCCGTTTCGTTGGGGAGGGGCCCCGTGTTCCTTAAGCGGTTCACAGTTTGCCTCCGGTTTTCCTTCTGTTTTCGATGGGGAATCGAAGTTTAACTTATGGGAAAAGGGGCCTCGTTCCTTATCTAGGGTTCCTTAGGTCAACGCCCCGACTGTACCCATTTTGGGCGTCCAAATCCACGCCGGGGCCCGCGCGCGCGCGGAGCCGACAGCCGATAGCGATCTCTCGGAGGAGGAGCGCCGCGGCCGCTCGGGGGGGGGCTCCTGCCTCGGAGGGGGGGGGCCGGGCCGAGGGGCGTTGGCGCGGCTCGGCTTCTCCCTGGCGTGCGTGCTTTTGCGCGTCCTTGCTCGGGCCTCCTGGGCTGGGGTGGCTTCTTGTCGCCGCGGCCGGGTCTGCCTCGAGGCAGGGGTCAGGGCGGACCCTGGGAGGGGGCCCTCGAGAAGGCGCGGGCCCTATCTATAGACGTAAGGCCGGCGCCTTCCAATAAGCAGCCTCCTTCTCCGGCAATTTGCCAGGATTTTGCCGGGGTGCGTTCCGTCCGGTGACCCCCAGGGGCCGCCACGTTCGCGCGAACCTGAGAAATATTCTTAGATTCAGATTAGAGATTTTGCATGCATTTGGCCCGTTGGGCTGGCGAAGTTCCCCACTCTTGTTTTTCATATGCTTGCGCATGTGTAGGCTGCTCGGCAGTTCGGCTTGCGCCGGACTGGCCCTGGTTGTTCAGCTTACTCGCGCCAGCACAGTGACGATTCAACTTGTAGCTAACCCGGCCCGTAGCCAGCTTCTGGTTGCTACCAGCCAGCGCCTCCGAGGAAAAAGTGTATGTTTAAGATATTGCAGCGAGTGGGGACGGGGGGGGGGACAGGAGGAGGAGGAGCATGAGGAGGATGAGGACGATGATGAGGAGGAAATGGAAGGGACCCCCTTGTTGCGAGGAGGTGGTCGGGACACCATGCCTGAGACGACGGCGAAGTGGCCATCGAGTCAGAGATATGATGAGACAGCATTCTATCGCTGAGGCTTATCGCGCCGCTCCGAGGGTGATATTGCCAGGGGATCTACCACGCGTCTTCTTATCAGAACTGATTCGGAATATTTTTGGCGCGTCCTCCAAGGGATGACCGTGAAAGGGGGTTGTGTGGAGAGTGGTTTCGCTAGAGGGTGAGGGTGGGCAGGTACGGCAACAGGCATGCGGGTGTTTGTCCTTCTGGTCCAGCGCACGGAGGGCACCGAGAGACGTTGACAGATTGGGGATCTTGACGTGAAGCAGGCGATGTCAGCAGCTGGTTGGTTGACTGCTAGATTTGTCATCCTCTGGGGCCCCCTGTCGGAATCATGAGTCGGCCTTCGAGGCTATGGTCATTACGGCGTCGCAGCTTGTGTTTGGGCCTCCTGTGGCGGGCATGTGCCGTCATGGCTGTTCTGTTGGCTTGAGTTTCTGACCTTTCGCGTACTCCTGCAAGCACACCCTCCGCGGCCAGCCCGGGGGGGAAGAGAGAGAGAGAGAAGCGGGCCTTCTCAGAAGGCTAGGAAGTCCCCCAGCCTTCTAAGAAGCTCCCTAAGCCTTCCCCGAAGACGCAGAACACTCGGAAGGCCGGAGGGCTTCTGAGAAGCCCCGCCGCTTTCCAAGAAGGCTTCCTCCTCGCTTCCCTCGCTCGCCGCCGACACCCAGAGACGATCCCAAGGCGAGCGGCCTTGACCAGGGAAGGGTTGAGGAGCAAGCAGTGGCGCAGAGGGGGAGGGCAGCCGCCCACCCCCATTACTGTCCACTGTCGTACTTTTTATGTGTGCGTAGATGTGTTTGTAGCGTTTCAGAAAAGGGCCTCTCCTTCAAGGATCGAAGGAGTTACCATCTCTTCCTCGGCGCAAGGCGGCGGAAGACGTCAGATGTAAAACGAGGCCGCCTCTTCTGGCGGAACCCGGCGAAAGGTCGGCGGAAGCCGGCGGAAGCAAATGATGTGTCCCGAAGCAATGACAACATGTTTGGGTTCGGGGTTTCCGGAGCCCGCCTCACACACACACGCACACATATATATATATATATATATATAAAAATATCTATATATATGTACACATGTATGTTCATACATATGTATGTGTGTATGTGTGTATGTATGTGAATGTGTATGTGTATGTGAATGTGTGTATGTGTGTATGTGCATGTGCATGTGCATGTGTATGTGTACGTGTATGGTATGTGTACGTGTAGTAGCATGTGTGTGCGTATGCGTATGCGTGTGCGTGTGCGTATGCGTATATGTATGTATGCATGTATGTACGCATGTATAGGTATATCTATAGTTATGTCTGAGGGTGTATAGTCAAGGTCCTTTCGCACAGTGGAGACGCGCATCAAGGAACCAGGTGAGCGACATAATAAAACGTGGTCGATTGCGCCGACATTCGCGCGTAGGTTGCCCGCGCAAGGTCGCGCGCACGCGCCCTTGTTTCCAATGTAGCATGCCGTGCTGGCGGCTTGCATAAGCCACCGCGTGAGGTCGCCGTACCATCTCGCGTCACGCGCTGCGTGGTGACTACCAGCGGCCGGGGAAGAAGCTGCTTGCTTCGGAGAAGGAGGAGGAGGGGCTTCAAGCTGCAACTTGTTCTTCAGAGGGGTCTGACTGACTCCACCTGTGAGTAAAACTGTCTAACCCTGGCCTGCAATCCCCTCGCTGCAGAGTGTGACTAGGTGATGGCGTCGAGGCCCCCCAAGAAATCTCCCCCGCGGGTTTGTTTTCAGGGTTGGGCTCTTCTTGCGATGGTTTCCTGCAGCCGCGTCCACACCGTGGGGGCGCCGCGATGTCCTCCATGATCGACGCCTCGCTCTTTCGGGGCAGCGGAGAGGCGCGAAGCAACCAGATGCAACCATGAGGGCTTCGCGAGCCTTTCCTTTTTCCGAAGGAAACCGGAAGGGAGCATATCAGAGGCTTCTTGGCACCTTCTGCGGGGGCCGTCTTAGAGTCTGGCCAGGGTTGGAGGCGGCCAGGGGGTCTGAATTGGTTGGGACCCTGAAATATCGGCCAGGAGAGGGGACGAGGCCAAATCCGCTCAACATCGGCTCTCGAGGTCCACCTGGCGCGGTCTTTCACCCTGGATCTGTGTGTTGACGTTCCCGGTGCCCGATGCGGTCCCCGAGGGAGGAAAGAGGCCAAACACCGTTGCGCCCCCAGAGCTTGGGACTTGGCCCACACTTCCTGCTGGAAAGAATCAGTGTTAAGTCGGGCCGGTCCCTCTACAGGAGGAACATTCAAAAGTAGTAAAAAAATAGGCAGGGGAAGATCATTTGTTGATAATGTTTGCATATTTCACTGTATTTTCCATTAGTTCTAATTTTTCGTCCAAAATCGGCCTGCAGGGGACAGGCCCGACTTGAAACTAGTGCTCGGCCACCTCAGACCTCCAGCCGACTCCAATGTTAGAGGTCTGTGGGGCTCTGTCCTGGGGCCTTCTTGGGCGCCCCTCGGGCCCTTCCTGCGCCGATCCAGGACACCGTCGGTCCGAAAACGGCCCCGGTCCCCGCCGGAGCATCCACAGCTTGCCGCCGTGGGCCGTCTCGGCGCGCAGTTGGGGTACTCTTGCGGCCGCTGGGCCGTCCGGAGGCTCCTCTGGGCCTCTCCTGGGGCTACCTTACTCAAAATCCCTTCTTAATCGCCCCCCCCTGAAAAACCGGACCCCCATCCAAATGCGACCTGATGCTCCGGACCCCCCTCTTCGACGGGGCGCCTTGATAAACCGGACCCCCTAAGCTCCAATCCAAAGAAAGCGCTATAATAAACCGGACCCCCCCAGTTACAAAAAAGGCGCTTTAGAAAACCGGACCCGGGGGTCGATTAATAAGGGATTTGGAATAGGGAACATTTTGGGCGCCCTCAGGCTTCAGAAGCCAATCAAGAGCTGGAAGATGAAATGGCCAACATTATCGAGCAGATGGTATGAGGGTGTCATGATGGTTTGAGGTTGCGTGGCCGCAGTTCGTGAGCCCTCCGACCCAGTGGTTGCGCTACTGTGCCTGCGCGTGGTGCTCGCCGAGCTTCGGAGTCACCAGCGGATGCCTGCAGCTGTCGTTTTTTAGTGAACAGGTATCGACAGCCATTAGGAATTCGTTGAGCAAATGTGTCCATGTCCATCCTTGCGATTGTGGTGCTCGGATGTTTCTGGTTGGGCGACTTACTGCGCACTCCTCAGGAGGGGTCGGCGGACTGCTTGCCCCTGCGGCTGTCCATATTTCTGTTCGCTGGCGCCACATTCTTAAGCTCGTTGAGCTACTGCCTGAACACGTCAGGCGTGCCTTGGTAGACGTCGCCTTCTGCTTGTACTGTCCCGTCTTGGCCGGGCCTGTCTTATGATGTTTCCAGATGTCTCTGCCTGGCCATCCTTCCGGCTCTCTATTTCTCTCTCTCTTTCTCTCTTATTTCCCGTTCTCTCTCTCTCTCTTTCTCCCTCCTTCTCGTTCTCTCTGAGAAGCGTGCCTTTGCGCCCGGCTCCCTGTGATCCTCGCCTCCATAATCTTATTTGGTTACGTTCATTTGCTCTGTCCTTTGCTCACGATCGCCCTCTGAACATGTCCAGTTTTCCGAATTGCGATTTCGTGCTATCTGCCTCTCTCCTTGTGTGCCTTAGCTCCTTCCCTGCATCGCTGCTCAACTCCCTCCTGTCCTGGACCCCTCCTGCTCACCTCCCTCCTGTGCATCGCTGTCAGCTCAGTCGCTGCTCACTTCCCTCCTGTGCACCCACTGAGCGCAGCCGACCCGAGGCTGGGACAGCGCCTTCCGCTATTTCGAAGGCTTGTGGGATCTCCGATTGAAGAAGGGAACGGGAAAGGGCAGGGGAGGACCTGAACGGTGCTTTGGCGATTTCGTGGGCCGTTTTCGTTCCGACTTCGTTTTGCGGTAAAGGCGGATCGGAGACATGACGTGGGAAAACGAAAATAAAACGAAAACGAAAAACACCGTTTAGGTTCAGCTCTGGGAAGGGATAGAAGGGGAGGAGAGGGTGACCTCTCTCGTGGCCTGCGCGTGAGCGGGGGGGGGGGAACGGCGCAGGGTTCGCCGTGGTGATCCGGGATATCGGCGCTCGGGCACGGGCTTTCGTGCGAGGGGGAGGCGCCGCAGCGGCAGGAGGCACCGGCAGCGTCAGGCTGGATGGCGCGTCCGCTCTTTCTGGCGCGAG